TTTTTTACGGATTTTAGTAAGCATATAGAGTTGTTTAAGCTTTATATTAACATAAGTACATTATTATTGCAGAATCCTTCGCATAATATGAATGCCGGTGCTAAGTTGTTCTACATCAAGAACACTTGCACTCCACCAAATCAGTTGAAGGTGTATGGGAAGCTCTCTTCCAAGCTGCATAAATTGTTCAAGAAATGGGGAGCCGAAATCAACAGGGACCCGAAGAGCTTGACATTGATCCACCAAGATAGGAGGTTGTACGTCAAGAAGTCAAACCATTGGTGATGCTGGTATCAAGAACTTCGACTATGTTTACGCATATCCAGACAATTAAATCATTTTAGGGGTGGGTTGGGACTCTTGGCCGGAAGATTTCAATGTTGAGCTGGAGTTATAGTTGGCTCTTTTAAGGCCTTTTGTGTGGACTTTGTGTTTGCTCTTATGAGGCCCTTTTGTGTAGGCCCTTTTGTGTATGGACTTTGTGGTGGCCAGTATGTGGGCCTTTTTTAAGTATGTGTCAGACCAGTATGTGTAAGCCCAGTATAGTAGTATGGAATCAGGCTCAGTAGTATGGATATGCCACTTTTGTATGGATCAGGCCGAGTAGTATTATTTATGAAGCCTAGTAGTAGTATGGATCAGATCCAATATTAGTAGTTGGTCTAGTAGTGAACTTAGCTATAGGTATTATGATATGTATTCCAGCTCTTTTAAATGACAAGTACCTTGTTACTTTAAGATGCATGTTCTTTAAGTGATTTTCATATTTAACACACTGTTACTGTTTTCATATAAATATAGATGTTACACTAAAACACTGTCAAAATAAGTTCAAGTCCTAAATAAGTCCACGATGAACAATGAATAAGCAAATCAATAAAACACTGACAAACAAAGTCCATACTGAACATAGGCCTACTAAATAAGTCCAAGTCCAAGTACAAATAAGTCCATTGAAAACATGGAATAAAGGCAAACTTGGTTTATATGGAATTGCTAAATAATATGGTTAGATAGATCATGCCTACAGTAATTCAGGTAACAAATTCAAACTGAGTAGATAGATCAAAACACAATCCATAATTTTAGACATAGAATAATTTTCGCAATTTATAATTTTCACAATCCATAATTTTCACATAAAAAATTACACAACGCATATTATGACATAGAATAATTTTCACATTCAAACAAATACAGGCTTGTATATATTATTCAAATGGAACTATGAAATTATCGCCTAAATCATACACTTGATGTTTCAACTGACTAAGGAAAATTTATATAACTACTTAGAAATTGCCACAACGTTGCGGGTTACACAGTTGTAAGGTAGGTGTTTGAACCAGTCCTCATGTAATGCGGCATACAACTGCTTCGAATAACCACCGCCCTGAAAAGACAACCCAAAAAAAACAAAAAAAAATAGAAATATTAAATACATGCCTTCCTTTCTTTCTTTTTGGCAGCACACATTGTAGGTTGTAGATTGATCTAACTCACAGCTCTTTTTATTAGTCGAATGGAGGGTGAGTGATAGCTGACACGCAACAAACACAACTGTGTTGGCTCTCCACATTTTGCTACAAGCCAAGTACAATTTCTATGAGGCATATCAACGACATCTTGGACATGCATCTTATGAATTGTTCTTTGCATTCAATGATTGATTAAAAAAGAAGCAATAAGGACTGGAAAAAAATAAAAAAATTAAAACTAATCTGTGACACTATTCCCATGAACTGACTATGTGGGGAATCCAGAAAAGTATTTAGGGCACGCAAAAGCAAACTAAAACCCTTCACACCACCAGCAAAGAATATCACCTCCGTCTGCATAACCATACCAAATTTCATTACTTTAGGCACATATGACTTGCATTCAATTCCACAAAAAGAATACAAAATGCCATGTAAAACACTAACCTACGCAATTGCATCCATTTCATCGCGATTCTGCCGCGATTCATGTAATTCCATGCCAAATGCACTGTGAAACTGCTTGTTTGTTGTCAGTCGAGTAAAAATGAAAATAACAATTTCATAAGTACACATGTATTTAAAACTTACCCAAGCAACAACCCGTCTTAACAAAGACACCAACTCCGAAGTTAAATTCCTTAAAGTGACATCACAAACAAGGATATTAGATAACAAATAACAACGCCTCAAATAACATTCCATATACTAATAACCTTACCACGTCGTTGTGCCCCCGGAGAAATAACTGGACAGACCACTCAGTAATTGACAGAACTGAGGAAATTCTGTGTGTGGAACGTAAGTAGGGTTGGTTGAATTAAATGGAACAACATCTGAACCTGCCTTAAAGCTCCTCATACCAGTCCGCTTAGGCCTTTTTACTTGATTTGGAAAAGAGCACTTTGGTGCACCACGACACTTATTAGGATTATGCCCATTCTCGAGAGGTTGACCAACAAACTGATGGGCCACACCCTGTGTACTCACAACACATGTTTACAACAGTTAGAAGCCACAATAACACAGGTTATCAAACAATAAAATTTATTACCTTTGTCATGGAGGAAGGTCCATCACTATCCCGAGCTTCCTTTGGATGAATCTCACCATATGCTACATCTAAACTCTACATAAAAATATCACAAATTCAAAACCCCATTGTATTAAGAAAATATAGTAAATTAAATCATTACACTAGAGTAAACTAACACCCAACTTTCCATAATCACCTCCGCTCGCAATTCGATCTTGTTTAAGGGCAATACTAAGCTTATTCATGTCCCAAACCTTTATTCGGGGAAATTCACCCCATTGCACAAGAAACCAATTTAACCTATCAAGATAAAAAAAACCTACATTGAACAGCCATCATATTTAAAGTTAGAATACACCCATTACCAGAACAAGAAATATAATGACTAGATTTGAATATTAAAATACATACCACTGCGAATATGGTACACCCACCACATGCACCTGCAACCCCAGTAGAAGAAAATCGTCGAGCAAAACTCCCAACACTCTCCATCAACTTTTTTAATACTAATTCACACTAGTTGTACGAGCCAGCATTCATGGCACAAGTCAGGGCAGGTAATAAATCACAAGCCAACCTAGGAGACTGTGTAGGACATAAAACCATTTCTAGTGACAACAACAAGAAAAGTGTCTTAAATTCCTCCTCCTTGTGTGCCTCCCATTTCCCCTCCACCCTTTCCATCATTTTAGCATTCACAGGTATGCCTATAGAGGTATACACTACACCTGAATCCTTCTTTGACCTTGTCCTAGTTGGTACACCATACTTTTCTTGGATTCTAATGACCTTTTCATGCATCAATGAGGACATTGATTTACCGGTGGGAACAGTTAAGCCCCCGTTGGGAATGCCTAATACCCAATGCACTTGATTAGCGGATAACCTGAATTGTTTACCATCCGGAGCAATAAAAACTTTATTCAGAGGATCAATACGAGTCATCAACCAATACCCCAACTGACGAGGTAGGTGTATGTCAGTTGGAACAGTCAATAATCCACCTAACCCCATTTCATTAACCCAACGAGTTCTTCTATCATCAAAGGTGAGGCAATTCTGTAGAAAGTCTCAATACGGCAATTCATATTAGGTGGCTGCACAAATTGGGATACAAAGCAAGATCAAAAAAGACAATTCATTCTTCAAATTTTTTTAACCAACAGAACACTACAAAGACACATACCCTGCCAAACACTTTACCTTGTTTCTGGATAACCTCCCCCATTCCCTTCACTTGACCACCAACGCTACTAGAGTCATCCTTGAGTCAAATTTCAATTCAATAATTCAGCAAATTATCAAACCTTTTAATAATACACACAGTAACAACTTAACCAAACCATACCAAAAAGTGTTCACTTCGAATAGCTTTCCCCAAAGGATTTTCTCGATTTTTAGCATGTTAAACAGTATCACAATTGAATTACATCCTACAATATCATTACCAATCCAAACCAAAAATTAATTCTGATTTACCATTGGTGGGAACACATGGATTATCAACTGACCACAGTTTGTACAACAGACTGCAGTTCAACTTATCAATCCATGTATAGACAGTTAGTCAAACTGATTGCCTCCATTTGGTCGTATATTATTAAACAGAGTTGTATTCCCTTACACCAATGGGAGAGACCTCTTCCCCAATTGGGCCAATATTCAGATCCCTGAAACATATAAGGTGTGTAATGCATTCAATAGAACATTTCAGAAATTCAGCTATAGACCATTTCAGAAAATCAGCAAAATCAGCAATAGAGCATTTCAGAAATTCATCAATAGATCATTTCAGAAATTCAGCAATAGAGCATTTTAGAAATTCATCAATAGATCATTTCAGAAATTCAGCAATACAGCATTTCAGAAATTCATCAATAGAGCATTTCAGAAATTCAGCAATACAACATTTCATAAATAGAACAATTCAACAATAGAGCATTTCAGAAATTGAGCTATTGAGCGTTTCAACAATTGAGCATTTCCTCAATTGAGGCGTAGATAAATTGAGCAAACCAACGAAGATATTCAACAATTGAATAGAATTAAAACAACAGATCGACATAAAAGTTCATCCCACACTACATCCCTTAATAGTCATAAGTACATACCTCAAAAGCGACGAACTACTAGCTCAGCTGAAGCACAACGAACGCCTTTAGCACAAATCAAGCACGGGTTTCGATATAGTCACCTAACAACAAAATGTTCACAACATTGCGAGCTCAGAATCAGTGGAAGGAAGCAGAAATCATCCACCACGAAGAAGATTCTAGTATCGCCCTCGCCTTCTCGCTCCTATGGTCTTGATTTCTCAACTAACTGTCTTCGTGAAATTCCATGTTACAGTTGCTCCGTTAGTGTTAGTGTAAGTTAATGATGTAATGACTATTTCACCCCTCAATTTTATACTATCTTGACGATTTTAGCCCTGAAATTAACATTTTATGAAAATCTCGGAGAGCAACTTGTATTTACCGGTATTTAAGTGCATCACTTCTCGGTGGTTTAAGTTTAACAGTTGAAGCTAGTCGAGTGACAGTATTCCTCCCATTTCCCCCAGTTTTCTCTTTCTCTCTCCTCTGTAAGCTACGATATTAACTCCAATGTCGTCAAACAATCCTTCCCAACTCCTTCCTTCAGGTTCTTCTGTTCTTCTTTCAATAATCTCTAATTTCTTCGATTCGAATTCAATTGAATTTATTATTAATTTTTGGTGTTGAAATTGAATATTGGCAGAGCTGATTGACAGATGCATAGGTTCCAAGATTTGGGTGATTATGAAGGGGGATAAGGAGCTTGTTGGTACTCTTCGAGGTTTTGATGTTTACGTCAACATGGTCCTTGAAGATGTTACTGAATAGTATGCTTTCTCTCTCCTCTTTTTCTTGTTTTCTTTCAATTTTGGGTTTAGGGTTTTAGCATTTATCCTTTGTGTATTGAATTACTGTTTATATGTTGCAATTTACTCATAATATGCTGCAATTTAAGGTTTAGGGTTTTAGCGTTTAAGTATTGTACTACTCGTAATATGTAGCAATTGAGCTAATGCTTGGGTTTAGGGTTTTAGTATTTATCCTTTGTGTATTGAATTACTGTTTAATGTTGCAACTTACTCATAATATGCTGCAATTTAAGGTTTAGGGTTTTAAGTATTGTATTACTCATAATATGTAGCAATTGAGCTAATGCTTGGGTTTAGGTTTTTTGCTGTGACCCTTATTGTAGCTGTGTCTTTTGTCTATTGGGTTTGTACAGAAATATATGAAATCGGACATTTTTGGGTATTGAGATGATTTTACGTTGGGGTTTCTCGAAATTTTGGAAATTTGGCTTGGGTTAGAGATTGAGATTTACACGGCAAGGGAAAAGATCCAGGAAAGTCTTCAAATGTTGGGTGATTTAGTCTGGTTGTGGCTTATGCGTGATGCCTAATATTCGGGATGAGATTATGTTAACATTGTTGATTTTTGCATTTTTTGATAACCATGATTTCTAGAGTTAAGGGATTTATAGGAGTGATTTTGGCTTTAGGGAACAGTAAATCAAAGTTTGTTTAGTTGTTTACCAGCTCCTGTAATTTAAGAGTTTTTTTTTCCTGTATTGAGCTATTCCGTCCGCCAGTTTACCCCATTAAAAGTTTCATGTCCCAACAACATGTTTGTCTCCAGTTAAACTTTCCGTTTCTTATTCTGGGCGTGTCTGTTAAATAAAATATTGTTTTTTATCTTCTTATCTTTCCCTTTCTTTCACCTTCCCGAAGACATCAAATTATTCTTATAATCAACTGCATGCCACTATGATTTCTCCTTCCAAACTTGTACTCTTTAATGAGGAGTTTCCCACAAAAATATACTGAGTCACGGAGTTAATCTAATTTTTTGGCGCTATAGCAGTGTATCAGCCGTATGACCGTATCGGCCAAAAAAAAAAAGGGAAATCTTGTAACGGTGGCCTTCAAATCTATTATGTCTCGGCTGTATTGCGACGTAACAGGGGAGTTTTTATTCTATGGTTGTTAGTGGGGTAGATTTTTCGAATCTTCCTTCTCTCAAACTTTCCCCTTTTTCTTTTAGATGCAGGGCCTTGTTCTGAGAGACTCATCTGCTATTTAAAATATTTGCTTCCCAAGTATTGTTGTCTACAAGGAGGCTTAAAAAAGTCTGGTTTCATTGTGCCATGAATTTTTAAGTCATGGAGATCTTGATGTCTGGCTTTCAGGGGTTTTTACCTCCTACTCTTTGTTTCGAGATCCATTTATTTTACCTTCTGAACATTTTCTAAAGAGGATCAATATGGCTAATTTTAAAGCCTTGTTAAACTTCTTTAAGGAACTGTATTGTGGGTGTCATTGTAGTTAAGACACCCTTTATGAAAGGTACTAAGATTTCATTCTTGACGGTTCCTGTCACATTGACAGTAGGGGATGCAGGAAATTTGAACCTGCTTGGAGTTTAGTGCAAGACACGGTGAATTAGTGGTTTAGTGTGGACTGTTCTACAAATGGCAACTTGATGTGAGACGCAAGTCAAGAAGCATCATGTTGGTGATTGAGATTTATTGTAATAGTGTCAGTGGGTTGGCCAATAACTTTGGAATCAAATCCTTTATAGGCCAATACTATAGTGGGTTTAATTTAATTCATTATTGAAATTTCAATGGGAAAAAAAAGCCTGCCATGGAAGGATTATACATAGATACTACCTCCGTTAACAGTTATTTGCAACAAAGGGGGTATGCGCGGATTCCTAGGCAAAACTTCTTAAACATGATTATTGAAAGTTATGCACATGTAAGTAATTATTAATCAATTTTTTTTTTTAAAAAAGCAATTGCAATCAAACCAGAACACCACATGCCGCCCAGAACCACCACCCATGCCACCGTAGACCCATGAACGACCACCGACGCCACCCACAACTCACCGAAACTGCCCACAAACCACTGAAATCCACCCGAGAACCACAAAAACCACCCTAAAGGCCAAAACCCACCAGATTCGAAACCCAAACCCACCCACGAAACAGCCACCTAAACCACCAAAACCCACAAAATAGCTAGTCAGGAACCACCCACGAAAGCCACCAGCACCCACGAACCACCAACACCCACCCACAACCCACTTACACCCACACACGAACCACCAATACCCACAACCACCAGCACCCACGAAATACCCACGAACCACCAGCACCCACGAACCACTAACACCCACACAAACTAGATCTAAATTAACCCACTCAAAAACCAGATCTTCTAATCTCACCCACGAAATAAGTAGAAATGAAGGTGAGAAATGAAGATAATAATAAGAGATGAAGAAGGAAGAAGATGAAGATGAAGATGGAGGAGAGAGATGGTGGGGAAATGAAATTAGGGGTGATTCAGATTTTTTTGGGATAAAAGTTTAGATAATTGAGTTAGATTGGAGTTATAATAATTTGTAATTATGTGTAGTATTATGTGTTAATAATTTTTAGATGAGGATATTTTGGTCATTTTCCCAAAAAAAAAGTTACTATATTAGGAAAAAAATGGTTTTGTTGCAAATAATAGTTAGCTGGTAAATGTTGCAAATAACTGTTAACGGAGGTAGTATTTATTACTGTGGGCGATAGAATGTATTGTTTTAGGTAATTTCCCGGAGAATTTTGTTGGTTTTAATGATACCTTAAGGTATAAAATTGTTTTTTGCTGTAGTTCTTTTGGTAAAAGCTATTGCAGCCGTATCAAGCTGCATTAAGTACAAGTTAACTATCTGAATCTAGTGGACTCTTTTAAGTGAAGTTTGGTAGAAACTGGTATTTCAACTCTATGAACCCAACACTTCTTATATCTATACCATGATTTCCATTACAAGACTACTTATAGCATTTAATTGTGTTCACCTATCATCTACTTTGTGTGGTTTCGTAGTTAGGTATGGAGGATACGTACTGGAAAATGGATTAGAGTGTGCTTAAATTAAGTATTTCAAGGTTTTAGACAATCTACCCGTCTAGATTTAAGAATATGTGGTTTCCACGGGTTCTTGCTGTGCATCTACATTCCACTTTATAATTTCTTTTTTATGTTATCTGATCACTTGATCATTTAAGCATGATTAATATAATTTCCTCTTTCCATGCTATGGACTAGCTGTCTAAGGCCTGTTTAGTTTGCCTTATATTTGCTTATTTGAACTTATCTGATATGAATGTCAAATTTGACCAAACTTTGTCCTTAAACATACGATAATCTATACAGAAAAAAATAAAAAAATCAAGTGGGATCTTGTTAGATTCGTAATAATGTGTACTTTATTAATATGTGATTTTCAGAATTTTTTTCATCACGAAATTAAAGATATTTAGCAATAAAAAACTGCACATAAAACGATGATCTAATCTGAAATTATTTTTTCTGACCGATATGAACTTATTTTTTCTGACTGATCTGAACTTTTTTTTTTTTTGTTTTTTTGAAATAAGTAAAAATAAGGTGAACTACACAAGGCCTTACTCTTTCATATTTCTATGTCACTTGAAGTATCATGGTGCTATTGCGGAGTCAATTTAATTTCCAATGCAATACTTGACTCTATGTACCAATACAATAACAATTCCTTACTTTGTGCCTAGTCTTTAAGACAACTTATATTGATATGTAGGGAGGACCCCCTACTTCTTGCGCTCTGGTTGAATGGCATACCATGTAATATGAATATGTCTTGTTTTGTGATAGTTTTGATTATTAAGTAATTATGGTCATGTTATTAAATAGTTTGTTTCAAGGATGCTAGCAGACTTGCACATTATTGTTTCGGAAAATTTGTTCAAAAGGATCACTGAAGTAGCCTCTTTTGTTCAAAAGGACCTATTAAGGAAAAAGTCCTTTAAAAGGACCACAAAAGATGGTTTGAGTTGTTGAGAAGGACCAAAGCCGATTTTCAGGCAAGCCAACGCCGGAATCCGGCGTAGACTATCACGTGCCAAGCACATGCTTCATTATTTTGTGGCCAAATTTTTATTTTCCCTTTTTTTTTCCCCTCTTTCCTCCAATTCCCCCCAAATTTCCCCTTTACCCCCAATTTTTCCCTTTCTTCTTCTTTCTCACTCCTCATAGCATAAACCATGAATCTGAACCATAAACCAAAATTGTTTTTTCCTTTTTCCACAATTTCCCCCCATTTTTCCCTTTTTCCCTTCATTCTCTCTCCTCATTTCTATAACCTTTGATTATATTCTACCCGTAATTCGCATTTATTTCCAAACGAATTCATCCACACTACAATTGAGGATAATTCGCACAAGGTAAGCATTGTGGGTTTAGGTGGTTGTGGGTTCGTTAGGTATTTGTTTGGGCTGTTTGGTGGAGGTGCGGAGGTGTGTTGGAGCTGTGGCCTGGTTGTTGCCGGTGGTGAAGTAGGAGGAGGGTTAGCATGTTGTGGGTTAATGTTGTGCTTATTTGCTACTTGTGGTGAAGTTAATTTCATTAACCATTTAACTTGATGCTTTGACCTCACTAACAATGGCAAACAAGATGAGTATAGAGAAAGAAAGGAGGAGAGAGAATGAAATTGAAAAGGGTTAAATTGGGGTTAATTGGAAAATTAGAGAAAATATGGAAAAAGGAAAAAAAATTAAATTTTGGTGAAATTAATGAGTCACGTGCTTGGCACGTGATGGTCAACGCCGGAGTCCGGCGTTGACTTGCCTGAAAATCGGCTTTGGTCCTCCTTAACAACCCAAATTGACTTTTGTGGTCCTTTTAAATAACTTTTTCCTTAATAGGTCCTTTTGAACAAAAGAGGCCACTTCAGTGGTCCTTTTGAACAAATTTTCCTATTGCTTCACTTTACCTGTTTGAAGGACTGGATTCAAAAGTTAACACTGTATCTGCAGAGTTTGTGGGTTGGATGAATATACTTATCGCTAATTCATTTAAAATGCTTTGGTTAGCTGAGTTAGCTGATCCTCTATAGGTAGTCTCAAGTTAATCAACTTGTAAAATGTTTTTAAATGAATCTTATGATTGGGACACCACTTATAATGCTTCATTTATGTACAAAATGAATTCCTTGTACGCCACTTTGATTCTTCACAGTTAATATATGGTAATGTATGCTGAAAAGAAATCGTGGAAAGGACAAAAGGATAAAAGTTGTGTCCTTTAATGTCAATTTTTGGATACTAAGACCAACTAGAAATCAAGAATGTGTTTTGGGATTATTAAAGCTGGATGTTAAGCAACTATTTAATTTTTTTTTTCCTTTTATTTTTTTTAAATGTTTTAAGTCCCCCATCTGAAATTTCAAGTTTTCTATGCAAGTGTGTAGACAGCTAAAGGAGTTAATAGAATTGCTGTCTAACCCTATGACTTAGCATGAACCTCACATTACAGTATGACATGTCATGATTAAGAGAATTTTGGTCTGTCATAATCCTTAAAACCCTAAGTAAACCATTTATATTTTGTTTGTACCTTTGTGCGAATAGAGCAATGATTCTTTGATTTAAAGTACTACCTCCGTTACAGGTTATGTGCAACGATTAGACATTTTCTCTCTGTGCTTTATGTCAAATCGTTGCACATAACCTGTAACGGAGGTAGTATGAACATAGTAATCGAAGAGACATTGATGAGCGATAGAGGTGTAGGTCTAGTCTTATTTTCAATTATTTGATAAGGTTGGATAAGGGTTAATTAATTCATATAAGATGACTTCTAGAAAATTATGTTCAAAGGTTAATAAGGTAATGTTTGCTCACATAATGTGTTTTTGCTTGGAAGGGTCTTTGGTGAAAAAGGTGGTTCACACAGTCACAGCTGATTTGGTGAGAAAATATTAGTTTAAGGTTTAACACTTGTTGTATTTTAACAATGGTACTCCCTCTTTTCTGCTTACTATTTTGACGTTGGTTCTAGGGTGAGTATTAAATGTAATTCCTTTGTGAAAGGTTGAGGAATCAATTATACAATTTGTTTTGGTTAGTTCTGATTGCAAGTTAGGCGGTTGATACCTTTGCCTGGCTGGAGCCTGGACAATGTTGTGATTCTTTAGGTAGGAGGTGAGTGAACCTGTCCGCTTAAATTGCTTTAGTGCGTAAAAGTGACTGGAAAGTGATTTGTGCTGGTTATTAGCTGATTATTGAGGGAAGGTTATGCCAGTAATTCTTAGAGTTCAATATATATGGTTAATTACATGTAACATCTTAGATTCTCTGAAATATGGTATAAAGATCACTAATGTGGTTCTAGAGAAACAAATTAATTTTAGATATTTTGCTCAATTAATCTAACTGAACCTTTTTGGTTCTATATCAGATCATTTGCTTTGGGTTTCTCTTGAATTCTGAATTTTCTCCTATCATCATTTGAGCTGTATGGTTGTGGTTCTTTTTTAGTGCATGGTAGAGCCAAGTATCTGATTTCAAAATCTATATATAACTTGGTATCATTGCTGATTTATACCTTCATTATCTGATCTTGCAACTATATGACAGTGAAATTACTGCTGAAGGGCGAAGAATCACAAAACTTGATCAGATTCTGCTTAATGGAAACAATATTGCAATTGTAAGTAAGCTGATTGATTGGTCTCTATTATGAAAAATTATTTAACAAGGACTAGAAATATTTCTTAACTGATGTTGTTGGGTGATGCAGTTGGTTCCTGGGGGTTCACCTGATTCAGAATGACAGCTTACTGCCTCTTATATGTAGTGTGATTCTTTGGTGTTTATGACCTTGACGAATTATTAGTTTGCTGAATAGTTTGGCCTGGTGGAGAATCTCTGATGCCTGGGAGATGGTTTTAAAGTGTCACTGGAAAAACAAGGTGGCAGCAATTTAATTGCACAGTGATGTATTATTAATTATGTTTTGATTATGGCAGTGAGGTTCAATTATTTGGAAAACCTCTGCCAATGCCTGGACATCAATGCTGCTGGAAATGTTATTTGCTGAGCGATATATTAATGCTAAACCAATTTATAATCAGAAACGCTCTCATCCTTGTGTTCTGAATTCTGACATCGTTTTTTAAAATGCTAGTTAGATCATATTGGCACTTTGCCCGTGAACGTAAATTCTATGGTTTAACATAAGTTGATGCTATATTGTGCATGGAGTATTTGGCAGCAACATACGATGATACAAAGCTTATGCTTTTGTCTGGTTTGGTGTAGTCTGCAAATGATTTGTGTTTTTTCAATGCCCAAATTTTAGTGCAGACACATTACTCTTCATGAAGTCCGTATCTTTGGCATGATGTTAGCCAATGGTCACTCATTTTATATTTGATAGGACCGATACCATTTGATGATACAGATTACAAGAGTGAATTTATACTTTTTAAGTAAAATTTACAGTAGATTACAAGGGTGAATTTATAGATTAAGTAAAATTTTAGTTGTTCTAAACTTCTAGGGGTAACGTTCAAAGCCTCACGATAAATTAGTGCATAACTTATCTTACTCGAACCTGCTTTTTCCCCAATGTGTTCAATGGATTGTTAGAAGGCCTCCCTTGATTGTTCTTCATTGTTTCAGTTATCTCCTTGATGGTCTCTTGGAGGGTGTGTTGAAATTGTTCGGTCAACTTTTCTAGATCTTTCCTGGTGATAGGTTTCAATTCTCTTCATTGACGAGTTGTTCTACCTCCATGTTATCTCCTTGTATCCTCCCGATTGGATTGCTAATTGTTTTGTGGTTACAGGTGGGTGTGACTGACGATGAGTGTTACTAGTTCGATGAGTGGTTACCGTGACTTTTGTGGACAATATTCCCCATAGACGATACCAATTGTTTCTGCAAAAGAATATCGAGATTTGAGTTTGGGGGAGCTTACTTGGTCAAATTGAATCCTGCAAAACAAAGAAGGGAAACTTCCTCGAGGTGTTCTCGAGAAAGCCCCTCCAAATCTCAAGTCAGTTAATCGTTTGGAGAGAGAGTGTGGAGAAAATTAATAACCCAACTAATCTGTGTTGACCAGTATTTGCAGAAGAGAACTAACCGAGTGATTAGAGTTCGGATTAAGGTTCTAGGCCGTGTTAGACACTATTGGGCCATATTAGGGTTTCTTGGGATATGTATTGAGCATGATTCTGGAATATTCTTGGTCTAGGATTTATTATGGGGGCATTATGGTCATTTTAGTATTTTATTGAGTTGAGTCTATAGAGGGACTTGAACAAAATGTTACGATCAAAACAAACTTCATTTGGACCTTCTAAAGTATCATGAACTTAAGACTGTGGCAAAGAATTAAAGTAAAAAATTATAATTTTTTTTTTAAGTAAAAAATTAGAAGTGATGAAAAAATTGGGTTAGATCGGGCTCATGCATAAAATCTTGTGCTCGAACCCATAAATTAGTGTCTGGTTATTGGGTCAAAATGAACTTTTTCAGGAAGGGTTTGGATTTTGAAATAAAATTGCATTTAGGCTTGCCCCAAACTCGAATTTTTTTAGAACCGGACTAGCGAGCCTTTGATGATTACTTTAAGAAAAAAAAATCTTATTATGTGACAATTTTTTTTTCGGTAATGATATATGTAGCCATAAGAGCTATAAGCATCAAATACACTTTTGGAAATTGTATAAAATTAAGAATTTATGACAAAACCACGCATAAATCAGTGTAATTAGTATTTATATTTTCATGATTTCTAACTTTATACGATTTTCAAGTGCAAATTTAATGTTTTTATGTAGGTAGGGATGTCAATGGAGGCGGGATGGGGCAGATGTAGGTATTCTCATCCCCATCCCTGCGCGCGGGTCCAAAAATCATCCCCATCCCCGCCCCACCCCCACTTGGATATTCATCCCCACCAAAGACCCACCTAATCTCCGCCTCTTAAATATACAATCCAACATAATTAATACGGATTACAATAATAAAAACATATTACACACGTTTTTGTTTATAATATAAGTGTAGTACGAAGTATAATTTTGTTTTTTAAAAAATATAGATGTGGGTATGAGGTGGGGATAGAGCTAGTACGAAGTGGGGCGGGTGGGGCGAGGCCGGATGGGGATGGTACAATTTAAAATCCACCGCTGCCCCATCACCCATGGCGGGTATGGTTTTTATCCCTATCCCCGTCTCACCACCCGTCAAACCAAGACCCATCCCGCTTCATTGGGGCGAGTCTCCTACTTGACCCTCCCCAGTGACATCCCTAAATGTAGTTTTTTTTTTTTTTTTTAAACCTTACTTAAAAAAAAAGGTTAAATTAAGCTTATTACCTTTTCACAGAAACCCTAAACCCCAAGAATATCACCAATTCAATTTGCAGACATTCCTTTCCTCTCTCTTCAATAGCAGCGGCAGCCATTGTTGAAGCTTGAACATCTAAATCAATGGCTCGAAGCATTAAAAAACCCAAGAAAGCTAAAAAGAAGACCAAGGTTATTCAATCTTCCCCTGTTCTTCTCTTTCCTAAAACGATTACCTTTTTTTTTTTTTTTTTTTTTTTTTTGTCATTAATTAATTATGTTTCTGTATTGTTTTTAGGGTTCAAATAATTCAGAGGCATCATCATCTTCGATGCCGCCGGCACGAGTATGGCAACCAGGTGTCGATACTGTCGGAGAAGATGAAGAGCTTCAGTGGGACCCTTCTGCTTACAATTCTTATCATGCCTTCCATATGGGGTGGCCTTGTTTAAGGTTTTCTCTTTTTCCCTCAATTTTTTCATGGTTTATTGCACAAATTTATTTGGGAAATGAAAAAGGTTGTATATTTATTTGGCAATGTTGTAATATGTATTGGTTTTTGGGTTGTTGAAGATTTATGTTAATTCATTTCACTGATTTGGTTGCTGTAAATCCTTAGCCTGCTAGTTAATATTGCTTATAGTCTTCAATTCACTGATTTGGGCGCTGTAAATCCTTAGCATGTTAGTTAATATTGCATTTAATCTTCGTTTAGTTTTGGGTGTTTTTCGTGTTTTTGAGGTCTTTATACTTGTATTTAAATGTTTATCAAGGCCTTCATTGGTTTTTTGTTTTTTTGTGTGATTAATTTTGCAGTTTTGATATTATTCAAGATACTCTAGGATTGGTTCGAACGGAATTTCCTCATACCATCTATGTTGTTGCCGGAACTCAGGTGAGTTTTATCAAATGTTTATAACTGTTATCAGTTACTTAACGTAAAATCTGTGTTGGTTTACATGGTAAAGGCATCATCTTGTATTGGTTACTGTGAATGTTCTGTTCCTTTCATAAAGTTGTGACCTTTCAATTATCTTTTTCACATTCAGGTTTAAGGTCCCATACTTTTTTAACTAAATTGAAAATTTTTCTTTTGCAGGCAGACAAACCATCATTGAATTCTATTGAAATATTCAAGCTATCAAACATTTCGGGAAAAAAGCGCGAGTTAGTACCTAAAAAAGCTGCGGATGGCTCAGACATGGAAAGTGATAGTGACAGTGATGAAGATGATGACGAGGATGAAAATGGATCAAAACAACCTATACTGCAGGCAAGAACTCATTTGCGTTTGATTTCAGCTTCATGGGCTTGGTCTACTCTTTTTGCGATGTTTATGCAGCGGAGATAGAGATTAAATATAATCAAAGAGCCATTTCATTTATATATTCATGAGATTTTACCGAGTGTTTTGAAAATTTTGCAGTTGCGCAGGGTGGCTCATCAAGGATGCATTAATCGAATTCGATCCATGCCACAAAGTCCCCACATTTGTGCAACTTGGGGGGATACAGGTTTTGTGCAGGTCAGTATTAAGGGTATTTGACTAGGATTTGATCTTACTTGCATATATTGGCATTAAGCCACCTTTTCCTAGGGTTCCTATGCACTATAATCATGTAGATTTTTTACGTTGGTATACTGAGGTGTACACCCATGGCCACCCTGCTTATCTTGTGTCTTGCTCACCAGTTGGGAATCTTGTCTACAGGTTTGGGACTTTAGTACTCATCTCAATTTCTTAGCTGAATCAACAAACACCAGTCGCGGTGGAACTTCTGTGGCTAATCAGGCCCCGTTGAGTATGTTCAGACATAAAGATGAAGGATATGCCATGGATTGGAGCCCCCTTGAACCTGGGAAACTTGTAACTGGTGAGTTGACATTCATTCTTTCGTTGACGATTCTTTAATGATTTATTGCTGATACGAGTAAGTGCCATGTGTTGCTTATTTGCACGTGAAGGTGATTGTCAAAATTCTATTTATTTGTGGGAACCCGCATCTGGAACAAAATGGAATGTTGATAAGAATCCATTTGTTGGACACACTGGTAGCGTGGAAGATCTGCAGGTACACTTTTGTATTTTTCAAATGATACTGTTTTAGGCAGGAGTTTAGCTGTATATTCAAGAACTTTGATTTTCTACTGGTATGGAGAGGATATTGAAAGGCATTATTGTGTAGAATGTTGTTTTGTTCATTCCTGTTTTGATGTGTTTCTGTACAGTGGAGTCCTGGTGAGGACTGTGTATTTGCTTCTGCCTCTGTTGATAAGACCATTGCAATATGGGATACTCGTTTGGGGAAATCTCCTGCAATGTCTTTTAAAGCCCATGATGCAGATGTAAATGTAATCTCATGGAACAGGTTAAACATTTCTGCTCTCTCTGTTGTTATCTTATTCATTATTTACCACTCCGCATACTTTGATTGATTTGACACTTTCTTTCTTGGTATCAGGTTACAAAGCTATATGCTTGCATCAGGTAGCGATGATGGGTCGTTTTCCATTTTTAATCTTAAAATGATTAAGGTACACTGTTTTGCCTCTGATAGGCCAATCACAAATGTGACCTGAAATTTTCTTTAACTATAACTTAGTGCATCTTTGCTTTGTCTACAATTGGATGGCCTTAAATGCTTCTCTTAATTGTCTAGGTGTGAGGCTTAATGAATACAGTATGCACGGATGAAGAACATGATTTGTTTAAAGTTCACATTTATTATGCTTAGTTCTTTATCATTCGTGATGAGTTGCATCATTTTTTTTTTAAAAAAAAGCATCTGACTTAGGCATATTGTTATGTACCTTCGAAAAGTTTACAGTATGATCGAGCATCACAGGTCACTTTAATGAAACAAATTAATGTTCTGAAATGTGATTTGAGAAAGAATATGCTGTGGGACATGTATATTATGTGTGTGTGTTTGCGCGCACGCGCACAATTGGGAATGCTTTGATGCCACCATGAAAGCTTTCCTGGAAGTAGTGATTTCCTTGGCTGATTAGAATATTGCTTATGGGATAGAGATGATCTTTATAATAATATGGGGTTGTTTGGAAAATATTGTGTCATTATTTGGCTCATAGATGGCTAATGTAGTCAAAACAATTTGGAAAAAAAAAAGTTTGGTAAACGGCGTTTTCATTGATGAGACACTGAAGAAACTAATTCTAAAAACTTTTCTGAAGCTGGTTTATCATACATCTTAAACTACCATACTGTCAACAACTTGATACAAAGAGCTAAACATTATTAGCAAGTCAAACAAGCCAAGTAGCCCTCTTTTGTTTAAGAAGATGCTAAACTTGCATTGAAGGGCATGGAGAATTGGAGATATGTGGATTGATGGTTTAGAGGTTTTTTATGCTTATTGCAAACAGTTTAAGAAAATGTCAATATCTCTCTGTCATGGTATGGTTAGAGCTGATCATGGCCAGGTTGGGCTCAAAAGTCTGTTTGGATCTAGGCATCTGATTGGGCAACATTTTGGGATATAAAGTTGGCTGAAGCTGGTGATATCGGATCATGCCTGATCACTAAAGTGTTCTAAAATCTGCATCTAGGCAAGGCAGCATTAGAGAGCCTGATCAACTGAGTTTGCTGGGCTGTCTTGACCAGCTGTATAACTGTATTACATGTAAAACAGATTGATTTTTTAAGGTCTATTTAGACGTGGCACACCTTCAAAAGATAGGCTGAGCTGACTGCAGCGCTAGTACTTGTAAATAAATTGACTTTTAAATCCTCCCCCCTTCCCCCCCTCATCAGCACGACTTTGCTAAATTATGATTCATTGTGCCTTTTTTCTATTAGCCATCATGTATAAGATTGAGATTCGATTGGGTGAGATCTTGAGTGTATCTTCTAGTGCTAGGTTTGGTGCACACTAGGTATCTTGCTAGTGGCTGATTTTGAAGTTCTTGCTTCTTGTCAGGCATTTGAGTTTGGGATGCCCATATTTCTCTTTCACTTTTTTTTTTTTTTTTTTTGGGTGCATAGAGTTAAATTATGCTCAGCCTTTGATCATGATTTGTTCGTTAGGAGAGAAGAAAAACAAATTAAGTAATAAACATGAAGGGAAGAAGTTAGAAAGAGAGAAGGAATGATAATTGTGCCATGGAGTTGCCCAAATTTACATTTCCGGTGTGCTTGACTCATGGCAAGTGCCAGGGGAACCACAACTTTGTTTTGTTTTCCCAATACCAACTTTTAGGGGCCTTTTTGAGCCAAAAAAAAGGGAGTGAGTGAAAGTGAGAGTCCTGACTCTTGAGAGAGCAGGAGAGTGAATGTGAAAGCAAAATGTTGGGCAACCATTAGAATTAATTGGTCATAGTTGGGCATGGGTGAGGGGGAAACCAATATTTAGGACAGGCTTTGACTTAAGAGTAGAACCACACTGCTATTCTTTTAGTGATGTGCTAGTGGCTATAGGCTAATACCTTGAAGCCCTTCCTTGTCACATGCCCTAGTTTTTGACGACCTTATCATTTTTAGCAGTGATTAACCTGTGTAGCCCATACACTAATATTTCAGATGGCTCCTGTTCAAGCTTTCGTCCATAGTAGAATGGACCAAGGACGTGAAAAAAGGGAGTACTTCATTATTGCATTTGCAACATTATGTTTACCCAGTTGCTCATACAGGTCATAATCTCCACGTTGGCACTGCTGAGGACTTGTTAATGTTCCTTTTTGTTGCCACATTATAACTGAACAGAAGTAGGTTAGTATGTGACTGATTATGTCATTATGCGCATTCTCAGATTAGAACCTTCTATCACTGGGCTGTAAAATGTGGAGTGAGAATTAAATAATGATATCAATGGCATATTAGTTACGTATGTGTAAGGATAAAGTTTGTGGCAAGCACCAATTGGTTTTGATATTGATTCAAAAACTTTTTTTTTCTCATTGGGAACAAATAACACTAAGTATACGTATTACTAATTTAGTTATGAGGTAATGGATATAGACTGGAGAAGCTTTCTGTTACGACACTTATATTGATTCCATTTCTTGGCAGGATGGTGAACCTATGTTGGCACATTTTACTCACCATAAGCACCCCATCACTTCCATTGAATGGAGTCCCCATGAGGATTCTGTACTGGCAGTCTCTTCTGCTGACCATCAGCTGACGTAAGAATAACTTGATAACTTCTGATATATAATGTCTATTTTTGCTTAATATCTGACACTGTCGTGCTTTCCATTTTAGAATTTGGGATCTGGCACTAGAAAGGGATGAAGAAGAAGAGGCAGAATTTAAATCGCAAATAGATGATAAAGTGGATGCTCCTGAGGAATTGCCTCCACAGCTTTTATTCGTCCATCAGGTTATATCACTAAGGATGTCATAAGTTGGTTTTTTGCTGTCTTTGGTGCTTACTGTTTTTCATACCAATTGTGTTACAGGGCCAGAAGGACTTGAAGGAGCTACATTGGCATGCCCAGATCCCAGGAATGATCATATCAACTGCTGCTGATGGTTTTAACGTCTTAATGCCTTCAAATGTCGAACGAAGTCTTCCAGCGAATGGTGCTTGAAGCAATGTATGTTGTTCAGGAATGATCATGCCAACTCCTGCTGATGGTTTTTAACGTCTTAATGCCTTCAAACGTCGAAAGAAACCTTCCAGCGAGTGGTGCTTGAAACATGGAGCTCGCATATGGTCTTCCTATGCATTGCCAAATGGCAGCACCAAATGTTGTGATGCCTACTGCTTGGCTTGGCACATCTGAGTTTCAATTGTATTAATTCTTCTAGATTTTATGGTAATTTAATTTTCTTGCTCATGGTGGTGGAACAGGCTAGTAATTTGGTTCTCTGTTGTGTAATTATTGTTGGCTATAATTGCTTTAATGGTTATTTTATTTTGATATAAATGTAACAATTACGACTTAGTCAGTCCAAAAAATAAAAAAAAAATAAATTAGAAAGATTAAATTTTAAGTTTTGACTTGATATGTTTGATTTGATTTTTTTTTTTTTGTATCTTTTCAATATTAAATTCTGGTTTCAGGTACCTAGAGGTGCTTTTACAGTTTCAGATATTTAAGTAACTATGCAAACTGTTGAAACTCCCACAGGTCCCCCATTAAATAGTACTCGTATTACCCACCGGGAAAAAGGCAAGTACCAAGCTATTATGTTGATTTATGCTTCAAATACTTGTCGTAAATTAATTCTAAAGATATACACTGTTAATTACTAGGGGTGAGCGTGGCAGGGTACCCTGTAAAAATATCAGGACCCGAAACCTGTTGCAACAGGTTCCTAAAAATAGGAATCGGAACCGGAACCTGTTGCAACAGGTTCCTAAGCATTGAGAACCGGAACCTGCAGGTTCCGGTTCCTAAACAGGGTACCCTGTCTATCAAAGTAAGTTTAATAGTTACTTGATAAATTGTGACAAATTTTTTTTTTTTAAAGTAGATGATCACAATAAAAGCTTACAACTTTAGTATAGTACTTCAAATATAACAAACCAACGCTAATTGTCTAGAATTTTTAATACCATATAGGTTCTGGTTTCATGTACCCTATAGGGAACTTGTACTAACAGGGTACCCTACAGGTTCTAGATCCAAAATTTTATTACCCGGAAACGGAACCTGTTGCAACAGGTTCCTAATTTTATTACCCGGAACCGGAACCTGATCAACAGGTTCCGGGTTTAGAACCTGCGGTTCCGAACAGGTTCCGATTCCATATCAAGGTACCCTGAATTTTTGCTCACCCCTATTAATTACTATACCCTTTGTCACTATTTGTTTGCTCTATTGGACTTTTCACGGTTTTAAGATGCGTCTTAAAATGTAAATATCTCCATTTTTAATATGCGTAAATATTATAAAAACTTGATATTAATAAGATATACAATGAGATAAATTTTAACAAGATTCTTGTGGACTAGCCGTTGCCAGCGTTGGTCTAAAAGTCCGTAACGTTTGAGGCCTAATCCGTAACGTTTTTTGAGGCCTAATCCGTAACGACATTTGAGGCCTAATCCGTTACGTTTTTTGAGCCAAACCTACTATTAACCATACCAAGCCTAATCCATTATCCTGCCCGATAGCCAAACTATAGAGGACTGTTAATTGGTGTATATTATAATTCATCCCAAAAAAACTACATTAGCATCTTGATGCGAGAGAGATGCAGTACTTGGTTACTCCCTGGTCAACCATATACCCTAGTGACGCAATTTTAACCTGCAACGGCTGCAATGTACGTCGTCAATAAACATGTATGTGCAAATTAACAATTAATATGGAGAAATACAAACTTTCTTTCAGTTTATAAAATGAAGATTAATCTTATGGCACATGCCTATCTTATTCAAAATCTGCCTTCCCAGGTAAGTCACAACCTCTATTGTTGAGAGTTAGCTTGGCCCTAGTGAATCCCAACTGGCAATCGTAAAGGTGGAGACACAATTAGGTCTCAAATAATCGCATTGACGCTCTTCCATTTTAGTGCTATACCAGAGATACTAAGCCAAAGCACAAGAGATACAAATAAAATACATCCAGGTGAGATTGATTAGCAGTTTAGCACACAAGCCAATCTAGTATAAATTACAGGATTTTACAATCCCAGTCAAAATTTGGAAGCAATGAGACCAAGCTACAGAAAGGTCTACGATCCCTTGGCTACTTTGAGCTGCATATCTGCGTTGGCTATCAATCGTTCATTCAGCAGTTGGAAGATATGCAACTGTCAACTTGTTTTGCATCAATTAGTTTGAGGCCATGACACTGAAGCATCAGAAAGATGTTAACCTTTTTTATGTATCACAGACCCACCGGCTTGCCCATTAGTTTGGGGAAAGGGTCTTGCTTGCTAAGAACTACGACTTTACTCTTGTGTGCAAAGTACCCTTTTATAAGGTTTTTGTGAATTAGAATTGCAACTATACATTCCACCTGCATCAAAGTATTAGCACAGAGATTAAGCCCCCATTGCAACTGGTCAATAGCAGAATTAATAAGTAAAAAAGCAATCACCTCATCAAGATCCATGTGTATCTGAAGCCATTTCAGTGCTTTGACTATAATGTCCAATTTCACCTGATGTGCTTTACTTGGATCTTTTTGTTTTTGGATGGTATAGCTACAAATGTGAAAAGATACATGAATAACCAGCTTGATGAGAACATGATGTATATGAAGATAATATGCGCTTACATTTTTTTCAGTAATCTTCTGTAAACTTGCAGCTCGAGTTTTTCTAATACAAGGTAAACACCTGATCTCAAGAACCTGAAAAAAAACAAAATTCAATTCCACAATAGCAAATCAGCACACCCAATGAATAATTTTGAGGGGCCAAACATTAAAAACAAAATATACCTATCTTCGTGCTCTTGGAGAGCACACCGTAGTAGTCGGAGGTCACCTCTTCTAAGAGCTAAGACAACATCCCTGTACTGCATAATGCAAATACCACATATAAATGTACAACTTGAGTGTAACAAAAGCAGATCAAATATGTCAACAATAATAAAAATCCCAATGGTTGCTTTCTGCAAGTTTTTTAGGGAAAACGATGTTTTCTTTGCTAGGTTGTATTCCTTGGTACATGGAGAACACTTGGAAATTATTGAAATAGCAACAATTGAGAAGGCAAAAAACAAATAACATATTTCACCTCAAGAAGATTATACTTCTGCAACAGTAATTCTCCAGGCAAGATGCCTATGGAAAGCTTTACAGGTATCAGATATTTTAGGATCATCCTGTTATGTCCAAGAAACCAATATACATGTAAAAACAGAAAAAGAAGAATACAAAAGGATGCAGAAAAAGTAGGGAAACTCATATAAATGAATGTGAACTAAAGAAACCCATCCCTCTCTTCAATCATGTAAGAATAAGTAAAAAAAAATTGAGCATGAACATGGAATTTTGTCTATACAGTATAAAGAGCAGAGAAATTTCTGCTGTACTCCAGAACGTGCAAATGTGGAGACTGGAGAGAGCTGTTCAGGCAGCATCTCATACCAAGAAATCAGAGATGCAAACTGAGGCTTCTTTGCCAAGGTGGAAAGGTTGCATAGATCAAAATTTAGTATGAAGGTTACTATAATAAACAAAATGAACATAAATTACAAATATGATATGCACAAGGGTGAGCTACAAAACTTGTTGGGATAAGAATGAAACAAAGCAGAATTCAGTAGATTTTTTCTTTTAACATGTATTTCTAACTGTCAATCATTTGAACCACAATGAAAAATATATACTTAGTATATGACTTTTGCTTGCAGAAAAAGGAATATCACTTGACCTACAAGTATAATGAGACTCTCAAACAACGCAAGATATCAAGACCAGAGATTGAGAAGGGGATGCAAACAGTACCTTATATTGGCTGCATGGTCAGGATGGCAATGAGCCAGAGCATATGACAATTTCTCATCAGCCTGCAGGTTAGAGACACTGATTTTAGATATAAGGATATGCACTAGAACCATGAACAGAATTTTCCACTATAACTACCAAATCCAAAGGCAAAACTAGCAGACATTTTGTCCTAGGTTGATTCAGCAAGTGTTGTTTTGGATCTTGGTCGATCCATTATGACTTGTTAGTAGTAAACTAGTAATACAAACATATTGAGTGAACTGAGCTTTGGATCTTGTTCCCTTAACAGTGAGAGTTGTTAGTGATGCAAGAAGATCGAGGACTAATGAGTTTATGTTCAAGAGCGAGCCTCAAAAGCTGACTTTTTCACCCATACTTACAAGGGCTAGAACCAAAAGTTATAATCTTAATTAATTCTTTATATTGTATTTCCTTACTTTCTTAGAATCTTTCAATATGTTGATTCCTACAGCCTGATCTGAGGCTACAAAACATATATGCAGCACCAGTGACTTTTCCCAGCCATTAATTAATTCCTTATGTTGTATTTCTTTAATTTTCAGGATCTATGGCTCTATAAATTGTTAAGTGTAAATGAATGAGAATTGGTCCTACGTAGCTGCCTCAAGCACCTAAATGAACCAGAATGACGTTCAGTTTCCATGCTTAAAATCCATGCTCAAGTGCTCAACTGATTGGCCTCTCAGATGGAACATGTGTCCGGAAAGCTGTTTCACAGAGAGGTAGCAAACAAAGCTTTCTGACTCTTATTTTGGTTAATACATGAGTTAAGTAGGAATGGTGGCCATTCATTGACCTAACAAATAATGCTTGTATGAAACAATAGCAGTTTGCTTATTGGAGAGACCTTGAATTACTTTATAAATATCACAAAGGTTCAGACAATTGGAGCAAGGACAAATTTATTTCATGGACTTTCAAAATCATATGACCAGTCAAGAGATGCAGACACTGATTGCTCAGCTTAGAATGTTTGGGTTGTCAATCTGGAACTTAAAAACACTAATTGCTGATCTTTGTAATTCAGAACAGTCGTATTCTTATAATACTCAAGATTTATGAGCTGTATGTTTATTTCTAGATAAACTACAAGAGTACAAAGGAACCTAAATATTTCACAAAAAACATAGAGAGCTGTTTTTTTTTTTTAATTTATTTATTTTTTTGGTAAATAGCGTAGAGAGCTGTTTAATCACAGTTTCTTAACAACTTACAACTACAGCAGATCCTCCAACAAACATTTGTATAAGACGTAAGGTAATTTTACAGGTTTAATAAGAGAAAATTATTGCTGTACAAAAACAGAAAATCTTACAGCTAGGAAATTTTCATTGAAAACTTCAAGTCGGCCCGTATAATACATGTAAGTCACCTGCCACAACATAGGAGTCCAACATCTCCTGAATATAAGCATATATATTGATATATGTATTTTGACAGCAATAAACAACGTTTGGAAACAATGCATTTTGAAGTACCTTATCTCTGGGTGGGAACTCCTCAAAATCAAATATACGAGCAGTCTCAATGCTTCTTATTACACTTCGACAGAGATGGACAGTACCAAGCTGTAAAAAGGCAAATAATACAAGTTCATCAAATCATGAGATCTCCATTCCTTAGACATAATCAAGATTATAGAACGATGAATTCACTAAACTAAGTCCAGTCATACATAACATGACATTAAAACTGTGTTTGGATAGCAATAGTGAAGGGAAAGGGAAAGGGAAAGGGAAAGGGAAAGAGAGGGGAAGGAAAAAGAGGGAAAGGAAAGGGAGGTGAGGTGAGGTGAGGGAGAAGGTGACCTTCCATTTTCCTTCCAAATCTCTCCAACAATGGAGGGATTTGATTTATTAAAAGGGAAAGGAAATGGATCCTTCCAATTCCCTCCCTTCCGTCCTTGCATTAGATATCCAAAGTTTGGAGTTGCTGCAAGTTCACTTAAGGAGCATCATTAGAAGCTAGAGTAAAGAAGAAAAATTCATGTCATAAATGCAGCAATGGCAGTTTTGTGGTGCTGCTTGAGTTTCCCAAAGAACCATGCTAGCCATTCACTGCTTTGGGAGCAATGGCAATTTTGAGGTGCTGCTCGAGTTTTTTAAAGAACCATGCCAGCTAGACATCTGCTTTGCGATAGAATTTCTTTTTAGCATCTTCTTGGGCTAAGGCAAAGGGAGCTTTTAGTAGTTGTTCAGTGGGAGATATAAAGAAACTGAGCTAATTTGTAATCTGATTTTGCTTCTGTTCATTTATTAAAAATAAAAATCCTATATTACACGGGTGAGCCCTGTTATAATTCTTACCTTACATCAATTTCTAGTCTAATAGGTGAAAGAATCACCCATTAAATACTTATGATGGAGTGATACAATTAGCAATAACAGCACATATTTTACATGAGATAAGATCATTTGATTATGACAGAATGGAAAAGAAGGCATTAAAGAGATTAAAGCAACAATCAAAATGCACCTTGAAGTAGATTTTGAACAACTGACAAGTCACATGCAAAGCTCCAACACGTTTTGGCCCTTTTCCCTGCCAAACACAGCAGCTCATATCAACAGCATTCCATCAAAACAATGAATCTAAGCATGGTTCCTGGAACAGCCCTCTTCGATGCAAACAGGCAGAACTCAAGAAGACACAGCCACCATGCATATACATGATTTTCAAAAAGATAGGATGAGATGATAAGAAACCAAGAACAAGAGGCCACAAGATTTACCTAGTTTACAGTTTGCAAGTTTAGCCTACAGATATCTTACAATAAAGCTAACCAGATTATGTGAAGACAGGAGTCTGAAATTTACTCATCTTTTCGTCAAGTATTTGTTTCTTTCTTTCTAAGGTGATACACTGATGAGCAATAATCCTTTGTTTAAAATTTTCTTTCTTTCTAAGGTGATACACTGATGAGCAAAGACTTATCCCTAAGTTCAAGATTCAAAGTTTGGCTCTGTGTAGGGGGGATGATGAGCTTAAGTGGTCTGTTAGCTACTCTAGATCTAGTTAGCTGAGTAGGGCTAAAGCGTTAAATAACACAACCAGAAAGACTCATGAGTTACGCTAGACTTTGACATTAAATTTTTACATGTAAAAATACTGGCTTGCATTTACTTGTAAAGACTTCACACTAGTGAGGATCCCAATATAATAGCAAAGATATCCAAAAATAGCTAAATGGTTGGAATTATTTTTAATTTGGTTCAAGATGTAAACTACATTAAACTTCAAGTTTTTGAGTTTGATAAAGTTGGAGCTTGGAATGCTTCTAACGAAGTTGAGATCACCTGAGACTAGCTACTCCAAGTTGGAGTTTGATCTAAATCATTATCAGCCTTAGCTTCACCTAAAGGTGTGCTCTTTTCACCTTTATCTCACTCATCTAAATTTAATAACTTATCTTGAACCTATCTAAACTTATTGGTCCTAAAATTAACCAGAACATATTAAAACTTTATTAACCTTCAATTACCTTTGTTAACCTTGGAACTTAACTTATGGCCCTGAACTTTATTTATCGAACCTATTAGCCCAAGAAACTTAGCAAGTGAATATAAAGTGAGGAAAAACTTTAGAGTTATCATCACTTTCTCCATCCCTATATGATAGGCCATATGTCTTTTTTGGTCTTCCCATATATAAAAAGTGAAGAATATTTGTAGTACTTTAACTAAAATACTTAGAAATGACCAATCTAATGAAGCCTAACAAAGAACAAATAGAGGGAGTATTAGGTATGCCTTACAATTTTGTCATGGCCTCCAACTCCAGGTCTAGGCCTCTTAATATTTCCATTTCCAGCCTACTTCACACAATCTATGAGGCAATGGATAATGTCCATTAAGGATCTAAGTAAGGCAATTTTCTAACTTGCAGACCTAAAGTCAAAAAGGTGCTCAGAGTACACTTTAATGCTTGAAATCGTCTTGAATTACCTCAGCAAAGTAGTATAAGTTTTTTTCATTACAAAAACAATAGTGAATCTAACTTCCAAATTTTCTAATTGATCTGAATACATGATATTAGTATAATGATGCATTACTATGAAATTCTCGAATTCATTTTTACAACTTACATCACAATATGTATTAAGTGAATTTAACTCGTGAACACCATTTAAACAACAGAATTGTGTACTCACAAGGAGCTCGCAACTCCAAAATTATTATAGTGATATGAAGAATTTACTTATAAACCTAACAAACTTTTCCCCAAACTCCCTAAAACTATTTTCGACTAAATTCCCAAAATAAACCCTTTACTTTCCTGGATTCTCAAAAAAACAAAAAAAAAAAAAACAAAAACATGATAACTTGATGGCATACCACGGTCATGTCCTCACCTAACCAGTAACATGCCTTCAAAGCTTCAATTTTCCTTTCGAAATATACAATATAAACCCACAAACTACAAAAAGCAGCAATGATAATAAAAGCATTGTATATGCTGAATCAAAAACGAAACTAAAGGGACTAAGAAGGAAGTGAAGAAACATACAGCAAGGACACCGAAAACTTTCATGAGAAAAGAACCAGCCGCCTTCAATTTGTCCGGGGTTTTACCATTTGATGCCAACTCTCTATCAGCCTATGATCACAGCACACAAAATAATTCAAACAAATGCCATAACCAATGCCAATAACTATCCAACTATAGTATAGTTTACATCAATCATACCCTCTCAGCAATAATCCTAATCTCATAAGCAACAATATATAACGCTTCCAACGCCCACGCCGATTCCCAGTTCCGAAATTCCTGTATAAATGCACTAAACAATCACCCATTCCAAATTACAACCTACCCTTAATAATTCAATAAAAATAAATCAATCTCAAATTAAATGAACAAAAAAATATCATACTTAGCAAATTTCTCATAGGAATTATAAGAATCAACCAATTGACCAAGCTTGTAACACTGCAAAGCTCGAAGCAAAGGAACCAAAGTTTCATGTGATTGTCTAATCAACCTACTCACATCCTGTAAAATTCAATCAAAACCCATAAAATTGTAATACAATATAAGATTGAAAGACAATTACTTTAATAATAATAATAGTAATAATTAAGAATTGAAATAGTTTCATAAGCATAAACCCTAGGATGAAGAAGAGAAAGACCTGGAAGATGTTGAGGGCGTCGGCAACAGAGAGGAGTTTGGGATTGTTGGAGGAGAAAGAAAGAAGGCGACGAAGTAAAGGTCCGTTTTGAGTAGCAATGGCGTCGGAGTAGTTGTTGAGGTAATCTGTTATTCTTCTGTGCGCTTCGCCCATGCTTATGTACGCCATTGTTATTGGTTTCTTGCTCTAGTGCTTGCAAAGCAGCAACTGGGGAGTTTTGAAGTGAAGTTGTAACAGGCAATAGAGCACCAATAGCCAATACTTTTAGTACTCGCAAGACAAGACTCACAAAGTCACAAGGGATGTGATTATGTGAAAAAAACAACTATTTAGGGCTAGTTTGGGTTAATAACTCAGTGTTGGTTTGGAATCGGAAAATTTATTAATTTGGCGTATTGAAACTTGATTATTAATTTAATTGTTGGATTTTTTTTTTTTTTTTGTTTTTGTTTTTTGACAAATTATTTTTCATATTTAAAAGTTTAAAATTGATATTCCGTAATAAATATTAAAAATCGCGCATTACATGGGAGTAGTTCTAACAATCTTTATACCTTGAAAAGTACAAGATTACTCTTATAAATAGTGTAATTTCAATTATACCTTTCAAAATATGTATTTATATATTAATGACAGCACACCAAATAATTGGATATTTAGCTATTCAAATCATCTATGTGATGACATTCTGTTATTCTCTTGCCAATTAGCATTCTGTTATTTTGGTACAATGAATGTATTAGATTCTCTGTCAGTTAGTTAGGCTCAGCACCTTAGTGCATGTAATAAAGTTGTGATGGTGTAATGGTTTAAATCAAGCAATCAGAATATCTTTCTTTATTCTCTTCTCCTAATCTCTTCTCTAATTGTATTTCCTGTACATTATTGAATTATTTGCATCAGATTTCTTTTAGTTATCATGGTATCAAAGCCAATCAATGTAGTGATAGAATATCATCTATTGATTGCTATTCTATTATTCTTTTTTTCCCTTATATTAAATCTCTTTTCTTCTCTTCTTCTCTCTTCTTCTCTCCTCTTTCTCCTAATCTTCTTCTGCATCAATGGCTGGTGGTGGCAAGATCTCATTTCAGGATATGCTAAATCCTTTTTTTCTTCACCCTTGTGATAGTGCTACTTTGGTGCAAGTAGACAAGCTGCAAGGATCTTCTGACTACAGGGTTTGGCGTAGAACAATGGAGATTAATCTTTCCTCCAAACGCAAGCTTGGATTTGTGCTTGGTACAATTGAGAAACCAATTGATGATGAATTAAAAGCTGAGCTCTGGAACACCTGCAATGACATGGTAATTACCCGGATCACTCATAATGTTTCTTCCAATGTTAAGAAATCTATTATAAACTTAATAAGGATCTATTTGAGATAACACAAAACTCCATGCTTGTGAATGAATATTATACATTATTGAACGCTTTCTGGGAAGAATTAGATGTTATGAACATGCTGCCTGCTATATCTAATCTTAGTGTAGAAGTGCAAATCCTTTTGAATGCTTTTAACGCTCAGAGAGAGAGGAGGCAAAGCTCTTCCAATTTCTGAATGGATTGGATGAGGCATATAACCCTTAAAGAAGTCATTTGTTTCTCATGATTCCCTTGCCTTCATCAGAGACTACTACTGCTACTATGTAACAAGAAGAGGCTCAAAGAGAGGTCTTAAACCTCAACAAGTGTGCAAGTGATCCAATGGCTCTGTATAGCAAACCTGTTGGAGCTAACAAATCATTTGTGGGTGCACAACATTTGGTCTTAAAGGCCATAGAAGTGACAAGTGTTGGACTATCATTGGCTATCCCAGTTGGCATTCTAAGCATAACCATTCAACACCTCTTAATAGATCTAAATCCATTGGTGCTCAGAGATGGAATTCTAGTCCTAAAATGGTGGTTCAAAAATTGTTGTTGTGGCTCAAACCAATTCAGGTAATGGTGGGTTGTTGTTCACACCCCAACTATTGGAACAATTAGCCAAAACGATGCCTAAGTTGATGACTTAGGCTAAAGGTTTTGAGACTGATATCATTTCTCAAGCATGATCTCATGTGATGCTGCAGTAAGCTCAAGTGAGTGGATCATAGACTCTAGAGCATCGGATCATATGGCACCACACTTGAAGAATCTGAGTGAGATTAAAGGAGTGTGTATAACACTCCCAAAATCAATCTTCCCACTAGTGACAAGGCTGAGACCACTCACATGGGAAATTCTGTACTTGAGATAGGTCTCACACTTGTGCTGTGTGTGCCATTGTTCAAGCACAATCTTCTATTAGTGTAGAATCTAATTCACAACAGTCAATGTGAAGTGTGGTTCTATTCAAGCTATTGCCTGATTCTTGACACTAACACAAAGAAAATCAGAGGTTTGGGAAGAATGAGAGATGGTTTGTACTATCTAGTGAACCATCTCACAGATCCTTGGGCACAGGACATCTTGCTTAAAGGCAAGATGACTTCTCTTAGCTTAAATAGCAACATTGAAAAAGAAGTGACCAATGAAACAAAATCTCTCACCCTTTGGCATCACAGACTAGGACATGCATCTCTTGGAAAACTTAAGCATATAGCCTGTGTGAAACCCTACATTCAGCAAACTACAAAGGTTTGCATCACTGTCCTATGTCAAAGTTCACCAAGCTACCATATACTCTGAGTGATTTACATGTCTTTTGAATTGATTCATATGGAAATTTGGGTTCCATATAAAGTTTTCTCTATAGGCAAGTACAAGCTAATTCTAACCATAGTGGATGATAACAGTAGGAATACTTTGGTATATTTACTTCCATACAAATCAGACTCTCTCAAGACTTTGGAAACCTTTCACTCATATGCTCAGACACAATTTCAGGAAAAAAAAATCAAGTTTATAAGGCCTGACAATGCCTTGGAATTTGATAATGGCCCTTGTCATTTATTCTTTGTCAAACATGCCATTATTCATCGGACATCATGTGTAAAAAAAAACTCAGCAGAATGCAAGGTTGGAAAAAAAGTGTAGGCATGTGCTGGAAGTAGCAAGAGCACTGAGGTTCTAAGCTTCTATGCCTTTGTTATATTGGGGAGAGTATGTTTTGACTGCAACACACATTATTCTTAACAACAAAACTGCATTTAAGGGTTTGTCTCACAAATCACACAATTATGATCACTTGAAAGTATTTGGCTGCTTGACATTTGCTTATAATCCAGAGCATCCAGTTTGAAGCCAGAGGGGTACCTTGTCTTTTCTTAGGGTATCCAGCAACTCAGAAAGGTTACAACATAAAAACCTGATAACCAAACAAACCTTTGTTTCCAGGGATGTCATCTTCCATGAGCATATCTTTTCGTACCACTCTTCCTCTCAATATTCATATATGCAACCCCTTGTATGAACCTATTACTACTAACTTCCTTAATTTTGCAGACACTAAGTCAGATGACACTCCACCTACCTCACCTACTTCACACTCTAGCCCTTTAACTCAATCTGATGACAGCACGTCTTCCACACCTCAAAAATTTCCCATAACAACTACCTTACCAAAATCTTCTCCCATTCCATCTCCATTAAGAAAATCCACCAGAGATCATGTTCCACCTGTTTGGAGCAAATATTACATCATGCTCAACAAACCATCCTTTCACATTTCCAATCTTGTTGTTACCACCATTCAACTTGATTTCAATTGTCTCTTGTCATCTCTAACCAAGGAAACTGATCCAATTCACTTTAAAGATGTTGTTAAGCACTCACACTGGGTCAAAGCCATTAATTCTGAGCTAGAAGCTAATACCTGGGACATCACTACATTACCGGTTGGTAAGAGTGTCATTGGATGTAAATGGCTTTATAAAACAAAATACAACCCTGATGGCAACATTGAAAGACATAAATCCTGACTAGTCATTCTTAGGTGCAAGTAAAAGTATGGCATAGACTACTCAAAAACTTTTGCTCCAGTCGCAAAAATGACAACTGTCAAAACACTATTAGCAGTTGCAGCTCTGGAAGATTGGTTTGCTGTGCAAATGGATGTCACCAATACATTTCTGAATGGCAATCTCTTAGAATATGTATACATGAAACTGCCTCAAGGATACACATGACTTAGGAGTAGAATACAGAAATTTGCAGATATTTCTCTTGTTCCTAAAGCTAATCCTACCTTAGTGTGCAAGATAAAGAAATCATGGTATGGGCTCAAGCAAGCTCCAAGACAATTGTTTCACAAGTTGTCTTGCATCTTGCTTCAAATGAGCTTCACGCAATCCAAATTGATTACAGTCTCTTCACAAAAATCAAAGACAACTCTTTCACTCTTGTCTTGGTCTATGTGGATGATCTTCTCATATGTGGCAATAACATGTCAGAAATCAACAGTCTCAAAACTCTCTTGTCTGAGGTCTTTCACATGAAGTATCTAGGTCCTGTAAGATATTTTCTAGGTATTGAAATAGACAGATCAAGAGCTGGCTTCTTTCTCTCTCAAAAGAAATACACTATAGATATTCTTAAAAAGTTTAGTACGATGTAAACCGAACCTTTACAGCTTCCAATGGGCAGTCACCTAAAATTAACTGCAAATAAGGGTTATATTCTTCCTAATCTTGGCTTGTATCAGAGATTACTTGGTAGACTCATCTACCCAACTATTACAAGAACTGACATTGCCTTTTCAGTTCATATATTAGCTCAATTCATGCATTAGCCTACTACATTCCATTTGCAAGCTGCAAAAAGACTACTCAGATATCAAGTTGGTACTATATCTCAAGGTATTTCAAAGCTAACAACTTACTGTGACAGTGACTGGGCTAGCTGTCCTATCTCCAGGAAATCCACAATTGGTTACTGTATTTTTCTAACTGACTTCTATGTTTCCTGGAAAGCTAAGAAGCAACCCGTCATTGCTCATCCATCTACAGAAGCAGAATATAGAGCCATGACTCTTACTACTTGTGAGGTGACTAGGCTCACAACTCGATCTCCTACAAGATCTAGGATTGAAGAATTTACCACCAACTGTTCTGAAGTGTAATAATTAAGCTGCCCTTGCTATTGCTGCTAATCCCGTTCTACATGAGCGCACAAAACATGTAGAGATTAATTGCCACTATGTTTGAGACCAGATTCACCAAGGCACTATCAAGACTGAGAAGATTGCTTCCTCTAACCAGATTGCTGATATTCTGACAAAAGTCCTTCCTGTTTAGCTGCATAATCAACATGTTAACAAGCAGGGAGCATTTTTTTTTTTATTTTTGCCTTTCTAGCGATGACAATTTTATATGGATATCCATTAACCCGATCCACCCGCTATAATAAATGGACGATAATCTGATTTAAATGGATGACTGGCAGATGATGGATGAAATGGGTGACGAACGGATCGGATTTTGATGGAGCTCCAAGCCATCCATCATCCGCTAACCACCTGATCCATCATCCACCCGATATATTTAAAAAAACAAAAGAGGAAATATACTAATTAGTTGACCCTTCATGAAATACACTCAGTACAGTGTATACATTGCTCATGTAAAATTATTTTAATAAAACATCCTAATACCCTTAGTGGCATTTTTTTGCTCTTCTATACCCCTTTTAATCACTATCAATCTTGCCATTGCTAGTTGTTTCGGGGTTTTCTGATGTCCTGCGGGAGAGTTACAATTCCG